CCTGGAATCCTCTGCAATCCTGGCCACCCTCCTCTGCCATCTCCAGCCACTGGCAGGACAACCCTTATTGTCACTGTTTTCTTTATGTTAAATTGTTTCTGTGCCTTCAGTTACCACAGGTGGTGGGGAAGACAATGTGAGAATTTGACTAAATAATTAGATTACACTATTGAATATTTTTCCTTAATACTTTATATTGTCAGTCAGGGTTGGGCCAGAGGTGGGAGAATCAATTTGCAGCCTTAGGAGAAGAAGCAGCAAAAGTTCTTAACCTTAGCAGTTGTTGGGTCAGGAGGGGCATGAGCACCTGAAAGCTGGCCATGGGTGGCCAGCCAAGCCGCACTTAAATGGTGGGTCACACCTAGAGTGAGGTCCATAATGGAATGGGATTTTGGGATGAGGAAGGAAGTCCATGGCAGCTTCATTGCTCTGAAAGAGGTATTTATTGCCTAAAAAGGACAGGCGTTTATTCACAAATGCAGGAAAAAGCATTTGTGAATAAACCTTACCTTTGGGTTTAGACTGTTGGACCCCCAACTGCCCTCCTTATGATTGTTGCAAATATTGAGGCAGATGGAATGAAACCCAGTCAGATGAGAAATGGAACATTTCAACATCAGATAGTATTATTTTATCTACACCAGATAGTATTATATTATCTATTAGCATGAAAAGGAGAAGTTTGTGGAAAATTAAACAACTCAAGGACAGAATCATGACATTGAGTCAAAGAAGACCCAGGAAGAAAAGATTAAATCAATGGTATTTAAAGTTTGTAAAGGCAATTACTAAGAAAATAAAAGGAGGGATTGAAACAAATAAGATGAATGTGTCTTTACAAACAGACCGTGTGAATCTGCTTGGGGATAGGGCCATGCACTCAGAGATAGGGAAGTAACAAAACAAGCTATTAGCTCTAGAGAATGTTACTGATCAACACAGACTGTTGCTCAGCCAAGACCCTGTTAAATTCCTGAACCTAGAGCATGGGAACACAGACTTAGTCAAATAATGAGTAGGTTTTCCTTTCTTTTATATAATGAAAGGGGGGTGCATATTGGGAGGGGGTGCATAGAGCAGGCGATTCGGTAACTCTGTACCTTCTGATTACCTTGGCCGTGGGAAAAAGGAAAAGGGTGATGCAGCAGGGATTTTAAGATAAAAGAGAGGCTGCATCCTCCAACCATCTGAGAGAC